TTTCCTTTTGACTTTATGCACTCCTCCAGCCGCTCTCCCAAAGAACTGGAGCCTTTCCTGCTGCCCTCTCTTGTCTCAGATGCCTTCCACTCTCTGCCTTCTCCCACCCCTTAAATCTGGGTTTAACTCACGATAGGCCGCATCCCGGGAGTTCTGGAGCATGCTCTGTAGTTGACCCCGAACACTTTCCATCTCAAAGATATGCTTGGAGCCATCCTAGAAAAAAAGCAACACGGAGATCAGAAGCAATCTGAATGACTTATGTTCTACCTACTGCCAGGGTCCCTGGCATCTGGGTCCCCTAAAACCCAAGAAGTTTTACTCCAGCACCTGGGATAGCCAAGAAAACTGGAACTGACTCAATAAGGGTTGAAATTCAAATGTCTACAGAAACCAGGTAAGTAAATAAATCAATTGGGCACATTAAGACAAGTCTGGTGAGGATCCTTGCCAACTAGAGAGCAAATACCTCATCTAAAGACCATACAGTCCGGGGCTATCAGTTTTCCAAACTGCTCCTAGTGCCCGTCACAAGATACCTCCGGTTTTCCAAACCCAACCAGTGTGCAACACTAATAACCAACCTCTCTGTGACATGCATAATCGATTAGACCGTGTTTTAATGATTGTCATGCCCAACTGTAAACCATACAGTCAAACTAGCTTTGTGCTGGAAGGAGCTTAGCAAATTTTGCTATCCTTGCGTTCCTAGCTCCCTCTTGAGTTGAAGAAACCTTATCCTCGTTCAGTGCCCAAGTCAAGGCACAGCAACCAGTCCCATGGTGCAGGTGTCTCTGACCACAAAACCCTAGAAGCTTCACAATTTTCCAAATTATGGCATCCCCCAGGCCACTTCCACCCCCATAAACATTTGCTCCCAGAAACAAGTAGAAGAGACTCTGTCGCTTAAAGGAATTTGAAATCCAACAACAGGAGTTCAAGTCTCAGAAAAGCAACATTTTTTTTTTTATTTTAAACCAGCGCCCATTCCAAGATCCTAGAGGTCGCCAAGACACACCTCTCTCACCTTTTTCTTCAAGTTGTTCCCCAAGCCAACCGACAAGCTGCGACTCAGCTCCTGGGCCAAGCCATCTAACATCTCATGAGGAGGTGGGGAGGTGGTGGGGAGATACAGCTGGGCTCGGGCGGTGGCCTCCGCCTGGCGACTAAGGTGCAAAGAAGCATAGAGCTGGGAGGTCACCTCAGAGGACACTTGGTTCAGCCCGGGGGCTTCTGATGAATCACTCAGGAGATCCTCAGCCCGGAGAGGTGAGCCAGGGCTGGTAGCTGATGTCGCCATGAGTACAAGCACGAGACAACTCCAGACAGCAGAGCTGGGAACTCCCGGTCCTGCTTTAGGAGACCCCAGGGGGGCAAGTGCACCCCGAAAGAAGATCTGAGAGAAAGGAGGACTCCAAGCCAAGGATCCTTGGTGAGTAACAGCAGGGAGGCTTTCTGGATAGAGGAAAGGTTTCCAGCAGTTCCAGAGGCCATGGGAGAGGGCAAAAGCATTTCCTTCCACAGCCCCTGGTGGAAAAGGAGGGTGCAGCGAGGTGGGGGTGGGGACAGAAGACCGAGGGGCGACAGCACAACTCCAGTTCCCCTGTAGTGCTGAAGACCAACTTCTGGCACAGGCTCTTATACTCTCCCACCCAGAACGTGCAAACTGAAACCCAATCCAACAGGGGCCTGATTTCCCTCCAGCAGTCTTATTTGGCCCTCACCTGCCCCGGGTCTCCGAGAGACAGGACCCTCACGCTCCCCACCTCCTCACGCCCCCCGCCATGCACCTGTTCTACACACGGTCAACCCTCCTGTGTATCCCCTCCGACCGCTCCTGGCAAGAAAGCCATAACAAGGCTCCTCGGAATCCCTCCTCCGTGCTAACCCAAGAGAAACTTCGTGAACCTTCGGCCACCCCCTCAGACCTCTCTAAAAAGTCCGCCGCCCTCCAGCCTAGCCTGAGACCCTCTACCCCGACCACCCCTGACGACTCCCCGCCACACAACCAGACCTCAGTCCCGCTCAGTTTGCCAAAGTGTGGACCAGGGATTGTCCCCCTCCCCTGGGCCTGGGTCCGGGAGACCAAGGACCCCTGCACAGCCACCCCCGCCGCCTTCCCCACACTCAAAACCGTTGGCAACCTCCCGCCCACCGTCCGCAGCCCCGCCTCGCTCTCCTAGATGACGTCACCAGCCCTGCGCTCTCCCTCGCCGGCGCCCAGACCGCTTCTAAAGCCCGGGAGCCCTAGATGCGCGTGCGCGGCGCCCGGCGGCACGGATTGGCTGAGGGAGGCATGGGGCGGAGTTATGGCCCCACCACTGAGGTTTGAGGAGCCGGTGGGGCGGGACTCCGCGGAAACCGGAAGTGTCTTATGACGGGCACTAGGAGCAGTTCCGGTGAGTCCGGGGGAGGGGTTCCCGCCGGGTTGGGGGAGTCAGGGACCGGGAACTGGAGCCCCCGGGGTGTGGGCGGTCTCGGAGCGAGCCTTACACTCTCTGCCCTACAGATGACTGTTCACAACCTGTACCTGTTTGACCGGAATGGAATGTGCCTTCATTACAGCGAGTGGCACCGCAAGAAGCAAGCGGGGATCCCCAAAGAGGAGGTGACGAGAGGGCCCCGCGCAATCCGGGTGACCTCTCATCTCCAAACGCACATAGTCTCAGCCCAGCCCTTCTTCTCCAAACCCCATCTGGTTCCCACCCCTATCCCGTCTCCAACAACCGAGAGCTAACTCTGTCCTTCTCCCTCCAGGAGTACAAGCTGATGTATGGGATGCTTTTCTCTATCCGCTCCTTTGTCAGCAAGATGTCCCCGCTAGACATGTACGCTGTCAGAGCGGATGCTGAGGGAAGGAGGGCTAGCCTTGGGAATTTGGGGGGCGGGGGAGATTTTGTGGAGTGGAAGAGACATTGGCCCCCAGGAGAGGGGAAGGAGACAGAGAGAGAGGGGAGGGAGAGAAAGAGGCTGAGTCTGGACCGAGAGCTGGTCTGAGAGGTGGAGGGGAAGATCTGAAGGTAGAGAGGTTGGGTGCGGGGGCTAAATTGAGGAGTGAAGGTGGGAGGTGTCTTTACTAAATCAGCCTGCTATGAACGATGATGTTTAGGGAGTTGACCTAGACAGGATCAGAAGTATCTCTATGGTAGAGATCATGCTCCCACTCCTTAACATCCTCCCATCTCTGCAGGAAGGATGGCTTCCTGGCCTTCCAAACTAGCCGTTACAAGCTCCATTACTACGAGACGCCCACTGGGATCAAGGTTGTCATGAATACTGACTTGGGCGTCGGACCCATCCGGGATGTGCTGCATCATATCTACAGTGCGGTCAGTGCCAGCCCCGGGGACCCTTCCCTCCCCTAAAGCTCCTCAACAGCCATGGCCACTTAGTGAAGCCTCAAGACTCCTTGAGCTTCCCTGCCCTAACCTTACTGTGCCGTAGCTCTGTTGAAGTCAAGAGTTTTCTCAAGACTCTTTAGGTCCTGAAACACTTTCTCGTCCGGGAGGCTTGCGTCCCAGCCCTCGATGCTTGTGCATTCGCACAGCCCTGAGATCCCATTAGGTTTTGGGGTTGGAATCAAGAAGGATCTGAAGCCTGGCTCTAACACCCTTCCCCTCCATAGCTGTATGTGGAGCTGGTGGTGAAGAACCCCCTGTGTCCACTGGGCCAAACTGTGCAAAGTGAGCTCTTCCGATCCCGGCTGGACTCCTACGTCCGCTCTCTGCCTTTCTTCTCTGCCCGGGCTGGCTGAAGGAAGCACCCTACCTCACCCCCCCCCCCCAGGAGAATCCCTGTCTTCCTGGGCCCCTTCCTAACCTGTTTTATATGAAGGTCCCACTGTGTGCCCCTCTACCACCTGCTGTTCCAAAACAGCCCTCCCAGGGCAACAGTGTAAAGCCTGCCCTCGTGCCCTCCCGGTCCAAGGAAGGAAGCCTCCAGGAATCCCTACACTCCAAACCAGGCCCTCTCCAGTTTTATCCCCTACCTGATGCTGCAACGTACAGAATAAACTTTTTGTCACCCTCTGCAGCCTAAGCGTGTCAGTTTGGTTGGTTCGTCAGGGTCCTGCCCCATGGAGGAAGGCATAAACTGGGGTGGCCCCATACTGTGAGCCTGTAAAGAGGCTTTGTCCATGGGCATCTCAACAATGACAGATCTCACTCCACTCACAATGGGCTTACGTCCAGATAAACCCATCATGAGTTGAAAATATAAGTCGAGAATGCATTTAATTCACCTCCTCTAGCAAACATCATAGCCTGGCCTGTCTTAAATGTGTTCAGAATACTTACATTAGTCCACGGTTGGGCAAAATCATCTAATATAAAGCCCATTCTACAATAAAGTGTTGAATATGTCATGTGATTTATTGAATACTGTACTGAGAGTCAAACAACGACAACAGTATGGTTTTTAAGTGTATGGGCGGTTTACACTTGGGATCCAGGGGCTGAGTGGGGGCCGAGACTCTCCCTGCCACTGCCCAGCATCAGGAGGTATCATGCAATATACTGTCAGCCCAGGAAAAGGTCAAAGCTCAAAGCACAGTTTCTACTGAATGTCTGTTGCTTTTGCACCATCAAAAAGATAAGAAAAAAAATTGTAAGTCAAACCATAACTAGGGACCGTCTGCACTGACAGTTTGGGGGCAGGGGGAGCTGTCCTGCGTTTTGTCCTGGCCTTCACTCAAGCTGCTGATAGCACATCTCCACCCCCCAGTCCCAGTCACGACAGTCAAAAATGTCGCCAGACCTTGCCACCTGACCCCTAGGGTACAAAATCACCCCCCACCTGAAAACCACGTTGCTGTTGGAAGGCGGACCTGCTGCGGGTCCCAGCGGGTGTGATAACCACCCTCCCGGGTTCCGCCGTCCCGGCTTCTCCGTGCACACACAATATCCAAGCTGCGGAGCTTTCGAAGGCGGGGCTTATGCAGATGAGCGGCGGGTTTGGCCGGGAGGCGGGAGGTTTTATGCAGATGAGGGGGCGGTGTCTGCATGTTGATGATTTGGGCCCGCTGCCGACGCTGCTGGGAGCCTGGCGGTCCCGCTGCGGTTTGGGCTGAGGTGGCATCTCCCTTCCACCACCGCCCCTCGTCCCTAGGTCCCTATCCTCCGAGGACCGCCTTCGACCTTTACCCTCACCCATTTCCCCTCCTCCTCCCCGCCCCAGGGACCCCGTATCCGAATATCTGCCCTCGTGCCACCCCCCGCGTTTCTCCCCTCCCGCAGCAAACCCCGCGACCTCCAGCAGCCCGCCCCCGCGGGCCCGATCCTGCCTGGCGGCTCCCGCCGCAGCCTGCACAGCCTTCCCGCTCTCCCAAGACTCGCGCCACTACACCCCCCGCCGTCCGCGCCCGGGCTTCCCTGTTCCCAACTCCTCCCGCCCCCTCGGAGCCCCCTCCCCCGCCCCGGCCAGCTGGCATGCAGGTGTCTATCGCGTGTACCGAGCAGAACCTTCGCAGCCGGAGCAGTGAGGACCGTCTGTGTGGACCCCGGCCGGGCCCCGGGGGCGGTAATGGCGGGCCGGTCGGCGGGGGGCATGGGAATCCTCCGGGGGGAGGAGGGTCGGGCCCCAAGGCCCGGGCCGCACTGGTCCCCCGACCCCCAGCGCCCGCTGGGGCCCTCCGAGAGAGCACCGGCAGAGGCACTGGCATGAAATACAGGTATGGGGGTGGCCGAGCAGCCCACCCCATCTGCTCCCCTTTCCTAACCCCTTAGGCTTCCTGGGATGCCGCCAGGACCCCCTCAGTCTTCGCTAAGAAGGTCCCACCCAGCTCATTCCATCTCTTCCTCCCATCACTGGGGCGCTCCCTTACTTAGTCCCTCTCTTTGTCTCCGACGATACCCCTGACTAGGAGAAAATCAACTTTACCAAGGTTGACCCGTCCTGTCAGAGCCAGGCGATGCTCCTGAGCTTGTCTCCTTATCCCCAGGAGGGCCAGGGATACACGGATCTCCAGGCTGGGCCCCCTCTGGAATGGCGTGTCCTTGGGTCGATGTCCTGGGAAGGGGGTGGGGGAAGGAAACAGCTTCTCACTCTGGCCCGCTCAGGGTGCCTGACCCAGATACTGCCCTCACCTGCCCCAAGGACCAGGTATCCTGCAACCTTTCTTGGTGGGGAGGGCACTGGGGCTCTTGGAAGCATGGACCACATCTCTCAGCCCCATGCTGAGGACAGATGGGGGCCTGGTGGAGAAAGTAGACGGAATTGTAGTGGACTTTTTCAGAGAAACGCTGGGCTCTCAGAACTTGCATAGGGGAGGAAGGGAGGGGCTCCTGCCTGGGAGTGAGCAGAGGTCGCTCATCTGATCTCCTCCATGTGTTGGCTCTGATTGAAAAACTAAGCCAACGACCTGGGTGAGGCGGCCTTGGGAGGAGGGGGCTGTCTGGGTGAGAGGCAGACGCCACAAGCCCACAGGAGTGGAGGGAGCCGACAGAGGAAGAGGGACAACCGGCCTTTCCTGTCACACTCCCCACCCAGGTGTCCTACCTGCGTTTGGGGGGGCCCATTTACCTACCCTGTCCAAGGACCCCTTGCCTGCCTGAGTGCCTGAGCCTGACTTGGTTTACCCCTTTGCACCGCAGTGTCTGCCCCTCAGTATAACCCTCTTTATCTGCGGGTCTGTTTCCACAAACTCATCCCCGTCAGCCTGTCACATTCCTCCCAGCCCCAAACTGCACACATCCCAGAGATGACGCAAACACAGACGAGACCCCACCATGAGAAACACAAACCAGGAAGCAACAGAGGCTCCAGATGTTGTCTCTAGAGTCATTTACTCGTTCACTTACGCTCCAGGCGGAGCCCTGCCCAGCTCGGTGGGCCCACTGGGCCTAGTTCCTTTGGACTGAGCTACCTGAGGGCTTCTGATTCTGGAAGGAGAGGAGCTGGGGGCTGATGGTCTCTGTCCTTAATGGAGGCTCCACCCCTTCCTGCTGCTTCTGTATCCTGCAGGAACCTAGGCAAGTCTGGTCTGCGGGTGTCCTGTCTTGGCCTAGGTGAGTCAGACAGCAGAGGAATGATGGGAGGGGGCATTCGTGCCTTGCCGCCCACTGTGGTCCCATGCCTGGCTTCTCTCTTGCAGGCACCTGGGTCACATTTGGTTCTCAAATCTCGGATGAGGTATGAGTGATGGGCCCTAGAAGCAGGGTGAGGGGGTGGGAGGGGATCAGAGAAGAGGGGAGTGGACTTGGAGAGGGGTTTGGACGACAAGCACGGGGAACTGTGGGCCCGAGGCTGGAGGCTGGGGCTGGGGCGGAGGAGCAGTGGGGCTGGGCGCAGAGGGAGCTCAATGAGGGCCACAGCCGTTGACCTTCATCTCTTTCTGTCACCTCCCTAGACGGCAGAGGACGTGCTGACAGTGGCCTATGAGCACGGTGTAAACCTGTTTGACACAGCTGAAGTCTACGCAGCGGGGAAGTAAGGACTGGGGTAAAGGAGCCAAGTGAGAACATCGGGGGCTTCTTATTTCCCTCTAGGGAACCCTGGGAACTCCGTGAACACTAAGATCCAACCTTCCAGCCAATGGGCTCCCGATGCACTATGGGAATTGTAGTCCCAACATTAGTCCCTCTTCATTGTAGAGCACAGAGGGTGTCCTGGACAGTCCAAATAAAATAAAGCCAACACGTACCCATGGCTTCACTCTGGGTCCTGTCAAACCTAGCCAAAACCTAGGAAGACCTTCCCCCACGTCTTCTCCTATCTGCCACACTCTCCCGCTCATCTTCAAGACTTGGCCCGATGTCCGCTCCTCCAAGAAGCCTTTGCCCAGCTCCCCAGATTGGTCAGCACCCACCTCGGCTCCCACAGCACTTATACTGTCCTCTGACCCACCAGCTGTCAGTTACTGGTTTATGTAGCCGTGTTTGCTGCTCAACTGGGAAGCTCCTCCTTCCATGGAACTTGTCCAAGTCACCTATGTCCCTACACAGAGCCTAGCCCAGAGCAGGCACCGCTCGTGGGATGACAACATGCCCTCCCAAAACTCACGGTCAAAGTGGTCAAGCAAACCGAAAACACAGGGAGGTATGAGAGGTTAAGTAACAGGGAAACCTCGGTAACCATCAGATGTAACAAATTAAGACCTGTCACAGGCTAGCGCATAATTAAGTGCCAAAGGATTGAACCAGTAGGAACTATGGAAGGTGACAGGAAGGGCTGAGCACAGACCAGCAGAGAACATTTTCAATAAAATGAATCAGAATCCAAGCTGAGCTTTGGAAGATGGGATTTTGCAGAGACTCAAAGAAGGGGGAGGGCAATGCAGATGGTAGGAACAGACAACAAGGTGTCCTCCCTGCTTCCCTAGGCTGTCCCTGTCCCCTCGTACTCTATCCCTTCGACACCCGGAACAGAGCTTGGCACATAGTTAATGTACAATTGATACTTGCCGAATGAATGAAAAGTACATGACCACACCCCAAGTGCTGGGAGCCCTTCTTATTTTGTCCAGGATGGGGCTGACAGCCTAATGAGCTCGTGGTCTATGGTCTGCTTTACCAGAGAGGAAATGGGTAGAAGGGAAAGGTGGGGAGGAGGGGAAGGAACTGAGCCATCTTGGAAAGGTCGGTGTTTCTGACATGATCTTCCTTCCAGGGCTGAAAGAACCCTCGGGAACATCCTTAAGAGCAAAGGATGGAGGTGAGTCTGGGTTTGAGGGGCTGCCAGGGAAGTACTCATCCCAAATCCCTTTTCTTGCTCCTCTCTTTTTGTCTTTTTCCAGGAGATCAAGCTATGTCATCACCACCAAGATTTTTTGGGGAGGACAGTAAGTGGCTGCCACACTCTATTTGGGGAGAGCTATAGAGAATGTGTGAAGACACATGGGAGAGGTGGGGTTTGGCTGTCACCCCAGATCCGCAGCGTGCCCCTGGGGGATCCGTGCAATCCCAGTCCCTCGGGGGTTTGGATGTCACCCCAGATCTGCAGCCTGCCGCTGGGAACCCGTGCAATCCCAGTCCCTCATGGCGCCAGGCCATCTCTGCTCCCCTGTCTTTGCCACGCCTCATCTTTGACTTCCCTTTTCCTGCAGGGCAGAAACTGAGCGAGGCCTGAGCCGTAAACACATCATCGAGGGTGAGAGTTCGGGGCTGGGAAGAGCGGTTGCATACAGAAGCCAGAAGAGTTGGGAACGTTCTCTGAAACTTTGAGTTGGAGGCTGTGCATGGAGAGCTGGGAGTTAGGCGGCTGTGGCAAGAGGGTAATGTCTGAATCCTGAGCAAAGGGAGGCTGAAGCACTTACCTTCCTCCCCACCCCCCACCACCACCCTGCCCCTGCTCCAGGCTTGCAAGGATCCCTGGAGCGCCTCCAGTTGGGATACGTGGACATCGTCTTCGCCAACCGCTCAGACCCCAATAGTCCCATGGAGGGTAAAAGCAGAACCCCCACCCTGGCCGTCCTTCAAAATGGCACTTCCTCAAACTCTCAGCAGGAAGCCAGCCCCTGCCCAGGAGGCCTCCCAAGCTCCACGGTGGGGGGCTCAGACCCTAGCTCTTGGACAGGGAGGGAGGTGAACAGCAGATCCCCATCTCTCTGATTAAACAGAGATGCCCAGGGTCTTGGTGGGGCCAGCCAAGGTGCACAGATATGGAGCCCTGGATGCCAGGAGCCTGACAGGGAGGTTCTCTCTCTCCCATGTGCCTAGAGATTGTGCGAGCCATGACCTATGTCATTAACCAGGGCCTGGCCCTCTACTGGGGGACATCCCGGTGGGGAGCTGCGGAAATCATGGTGAGTGTGCCACCCCGCTTCCCCCTTTTCACACGGCCACCCCAAAACCCACTCTACCGGAGGAGGGGCAGTGGAAGAAAGTGGGGAAGAATGCTCTGACCCCCGTCTCTTCCCTGCCCCAACCCAGGAGGCCTACTCCATGGCCAGACAGTTCAATCTGATCCCCCCAGTGTGTGAGCAAGCTGAGCACCACCTGTTCCAGAGGGAGAAGGTGGAGACGCAGCTGCCAGAGCTCTACCACAAGATCGGTTCGCAGCCCCCCACCCTACCTTTCCCTGGGCCTATCCATCACCTAGGTCCCTGTCCCCACATCCAATCCTCTTGCCCTTAGGTGTTGGATCAGTCACTTGGTCCCCTCTGGCCTGTGGCCTCATCACTAGCAAGTATGATGGGCGAGTCCCAGATACCTGCAGGGCCACTGTCAAGGTGAGATCTAGGGGCTCGGGATGGCAGGACTGGGCCATCTGGGCCGCTCCGGGCGGTGCTCATTCTCCTTGGCCTCCAGGGCTACCAGTGGCTCAAGGACAAGGTGCAGAGTGAGGGTGGCAAGAAGCAGCAACAAGCCAAAGTCATGGACCTTCTTCCCATCGCTCACCAGCTGGGCTGCACCGTGGCGCAGCTGGCTATTGGTGAGCCACCACCAGCCCTGGGCCCTGTGGGGGGTGGGGGTGTCCTCACCTCCTGCCAAGACACCCCCAAACCCAAGACTGGTTTGCCCCTAGGGAGGACCTCTTCCTCAGAGACACTCCTCAAGTGTGGGTGCCGAACGGTGGCTGTTGCCATCAGTTCTCTTTCTTCTCTCCTCTGGCCCCAGCGTGGTGTCTCCGCAGCGAGAGTGTCAGCTCGGTCCTGCTGGGGGTGTCAAGTGCAGAGCAGCTGATGGAACACCTGGGAGCCCTGCAGGTGAGCTGGGGACTCAGAGGCGGAGCCCATCTCTGTCCCCTTCCCCGGAAGTCAGGTCCTCGTCCTCGCTGTCCACCCTGGAATGGGCTTAGGAGGTCAGCCACTACAAAGGCCTCTCGCTCCGCAGAGGACAGGTCCCGGGGCCACAAGGCGAGGCTCTTTTCCCGCCACCTGGCCCCGCAGCGCTGCTCCCCTACCCACTCACATCCCTTGCCCTTCTTCCGGGAGCCAGCATGTGCCCCCACCCCACTGCCTTCCCTTCCAGGTGCTGAGCCAGCTGACGCCGCAGACGGTGATGGAGATAGACGGGCTCCTGGGGAACAAGCCGCATTCCAAGAAGTAGTCGGTCGGGGGCGCAGGCACCCGCACTGGGGCCGCCGCAACCGCCGAGGACCGCCTCCCGCCGCCGCCTCCCGCCCTCCCCGGATCCCTCCACGCCGCGGCCGCCGCCAGGGAGGCCCCGCCCCCGAACGAGTCCCGGCTTCGAGTAGCGACGCGCATGAACAAAGCCATATCCTCCCACAGTGGGGCTCGAGAGGGAAAGTAGTGCGCCGCCCTCCTCGATGCGCTCCGCCGGGCCCTCTTGCTAATCCCGGGCATGAACCACCGGGCCGTCCCCTCTCTGCCCTTTGGTTTCGCTCCCTTCTCTTCTTCCCCTAATCGCCGAGGCCCAGGGGAAAACAAAAAAACAGGGCAGATCCAGGAAACATGTCAATTACCTCAAAAGTGGCCCTGGAGCTGCCATCGAGGGGTAATAACCTAAGAAACAAGTCGTGACGCCAGCTGGGACAAAGGAACCGGGGCTCTTGCGTTTCTCGGTACAGAGGAAGCCAGGCTGGTCCTGGCGGGAAGTAAATGCTGATCGTTGAGGACCCTGCCTCCCAGCGGAGTTGGGGGGTGGGGGGGGCTTAAAACGAGCACCAGTCAGTACTTTGTTCTTGCAAAGAAGCGGGGGGGGGGGGGGGGGGGGGGGGGGGGGGGGGAGGGATGCAGTGACAGCCCTGAAGCAGGTGAAGGGAAGTGTGCTGGCAAAGCAGTGGGGATGGCCCTGGGGAGAAGTTGGGCTGTGCTTTGCAGGGCATGGTGACAACCTTTGGGTCACAGCAGAGACCTGGGGCTAGGATGGTCATGTCTGGGGACAGACTTTCGAGCCTGGAGCAGGATTTCCTACCTAGCAGTGGAGGACTGCAGTCTTTCTCCTGGCAATAATCTTAAAGCAATAATGCCAGCCTTTCTTCTGTAAGACTTTTCCCAGGAACTGTAAATAAAATCTCAGCTTGGTCCTCACTCCTGGTGTCTGAAATTGCAGGGGTTGGGAGGGTAGGACCTCTGTGTCTGATGACTGGCCCTTGTCTAGCTCCCTGCCATTAGCTACAGCGGGAGCTTTCTCTCCACGGACCAAGGCATCATGACGCTAGTCACTGCCAGCCACTGCCCTCGCCGAGGACCCAGGTCCTGCATACCCCAGTCCCTGGTCCCCGGCTTGCTTCCTTCCTGTAGTCACCACATCCCTCAGAGCCCAGAGATCTGGCTTCATAATTTCGCTGCTCCTCCCTCTGACACCCTTGTCTTTGTTTTGTTTAAAGTTGCATTAGCCACCCTTCTCGTCCTGTACTTCTCATCTCCCTTCTGATACCCACACAAATGCTGAGGAACTCTCTGGAACTCTTTCACTGTGGCTGAATGAGAGGGGCTGAGCTGAGGCTGGGGCGTTGGGATTTGGTGAGGGAGAGGTAAGATGAAAACTGGCCTATGGTGGAGATGACATGGAGGGAGGGAGTTATCATAAAGGAAAAAGGGAAACCAGTGAAAAATCAGCTTTCAGGGCGGCAGAAAAGCAGACTCCAATGTGATCATGTCAGAAACGACCCTTAGTTTTCCCCCAAAGGACTCGGATTTCCCTGGGACACAAAGTGGGTGGAAAGTTACAACCCTTAGAGATCACAAGACAGGAGAGGATGCTCTCTGCCTTCCTTAAATTACAACCTCCCCGTCTCCCTTCTACCCATCCTCACCCTTTCCTCGATCTTGAAGCCGAAAGAGCAGCATAAAACCAATTTCCAAAAAGAGAAAAGTCAGCAGCCTGCGATTTGCTGGCTAGCAACCAACCAGATCAACTAATGAATACTTACATCCACTCCTAACATCTCCCACTCGTTTTGGAAGACTGTGGAGGAAACAACCAGGCACAATGGATGACTAAACCATGATTAGTTATTCTGTAATAAACATACAAGAATTCATAAATTCAAAATAGTATTCTCCTTAAATGGTTACTTTGGAGGACTCCTCCTTCATTTCAATAGAAATATCTCCCCCCTTGCTCAAAACATTAAAAAAAAAAAAGTCCTTTTAGGAATTACCTTCAGGGGCTGTTTGGAAAGCCCTCGTAAGAGACCTTCCTTCATCCATTGTCACACCTCATTTACCATATTTGTCACCTACTTCATTCATTAACTTAACAAGTATTTAGCTACTGAGTCCCACTATGGTACAGGGATACAGTGGTGAGCAAAACCAGACTCGTAACAACCTTTGCAGAGTTTACAGATGGGGGAGAAACCAACAAATAGCCAGCAAACAAACACAAGTTGTCCAAAGTCCAGAGGTGAGCGCGGGCCACCTCCAGAGTCTACAGTGGCATCTGACAAGGTGAGGCTGTGCTCAGTGGTGAAGGGTCAGCAGATGAAAGCAAGAAGGCTAGGAGAAGCGTGCAGAAGGGAACATGCACGCCAAAGGTCTCCAGAGCTAGAGGGTGCCAAGAGCGGATGGAAGCAGAACGAGAGACTTGGGTAGTTCGGAACATACAAGACCACATCGGGCACTTTGGAATATTATCTTCATCCTAGGGGCACTAGGAAGCCGTTCCTATCAGTTATTCAGTGATACATACAAATCACCCCTCCCCCAAATTTAGTGGCTCGAGACAACTTTTTAAAACTTTATTTTTCCCCCCATTATTCTGTGGTTTGGCTGGCCCCTCTGCTCTTTGCACCTGGGCTCACTCATGTGGCTGGAGTGAGCTGGCAGGTCAGCCGTGCGAGAACATCAGCTGGCCTCATTGCTACATCTGGCCATTGGCTGGGACGTCTCAGCTCTCCATGCAGCCTCATCTGCTGGTAAATTCCCTTACATAACAGACTCAGGGCCGGGATCCCAAGGGATGAAGGCAGAAGCTGCAAGGCCTCCAACGGACCGTGCCCCAGAACTCGCACAACATCGCTTCTGCCATATTCTGTTAGTCACAGGAAGTCATGAGCTGAGCCCAGATTCCAGGGATAGGGAAACAGACCCCCAATTTTTGCTGGGAGAAGCAGCAATGTCACATGGCACAGGAATTTGGGGCTACTGAACTGAACTATCACCACATGGAAAGGTTTTTAAACAGGAATGGAAATGATGTGTGGTAAGACCTGGTTAGGCTTGAGATCTGGAAAGGTCACTGGTGATCTGGGGAGGAGGGTCCTACCAGGGTCTGAGCAAGAGATGATGGCAGCCTGGACCCGGCTGGTGTGCTGTGGGTGGAGAAAAGTTGGTGGAGCAAGGAGACATTTAGGAGGCAAAATGAACAGGGCTTGCTGAGAAGTTGGTAAAGGAAGGTGACAGCAGCGGGGAGGGGGTGGTTAAGGATGACACTTTGCTTTCTGGAGCTGGGTAAAGAAAGACGTGGGAAACACTGGAGGAAGTGAGGACTTGGGACAGAGAGATCATCACTTTGGGTTTCTGAAGACAAGCAAGAAAGGAAGGTCTGGAACTTAGAGAGGCTTTGACTGTCAAACATTTTGCGTTGAACATTTATATAACACATCTACCCTAAAAGTTTAAGATGTAATCATCTACCAAAGATATCAAAAGATGTGAGGACAGGGTGCCTGGGTGGCGCAGTTGGTTAAGGGTCTGCCTTCAACTCAGGTCATAGTCTCATGGTCTCAGTGTTTCAAGGTCATGGGACCAAGCTCTGAGTCAGGCTCCCTGCTCAGTGGGGAGTCTCCTTCTCCCTCTCCCTCTGCTCCTCCCCCTGCTCATTCTCTCTCTCTCTCTCTCAAATAAATAAATAATCTTAAAATAAGTAAATACAAGATGTGAGGAGACCTCTGAACAACATTCCAAAGAGAAGTTGCCAAACAGTTTTGTTGGCATAAGTCGATAGCTTCCCCCACGTGACCGTGAAGACACTACAACTCAGAAGTTCTGAACTGTTTGCTAGCAGATAATGGTATACCTCCTTGCAAGAGAGTGTCTGTCAGGGCTGTGGCAATCTAGTTAAAGAACAAAACCAGCTCCCACTGCTTGTTAAAGCCAGTCCATGCGATGTGTGTAGAGAAGCCCACCTTGTACTGACTGAGAGATGGGTGTTGCCAACGTTGGGTACTGAGAAAACGCAATGTACGCTGGGGGCACAAGATAAAAGCAGCGAGCACGTCCTGTTTTCTGTGGCCAGGCCCTGTTCTGAGCACCTTGCTCATTCAATACCATTAATACCCACACTGTCCAGATGAGGAAACCAACCGGCCCAGAGAAGTTAGGTCACTTGCTTGGGATGTCACAACCCCTGAGTGCTGGAGGCTAGGATCTGACCTCAAGCCAGCCGGCCATAGAATCTGCCCTACTATCTTCACAACAGAACCTGGGCGGCAGGTCCAGGAGAGGTGGGGTGGGGAGGCAGTCGGAGGTGGGCGTGGTACCACGAGGCAGTGTGGGCTGTGTGTTATGTCCTGTTTACTCGTGGGGCAAATCACACCCTGAGTCAGAGCTCAAACTGGGCTGTTTTGCTGAAACCATCATGGTGTGTGGGTGTCCAGGCCTGGCTACTCCGGAAGGAAAGGATTCCCAGCATTCCTGGGAGGAGGCCCATCCAGGATCCTGGCATCCAGGTGTCTCCGTAGACTGAGATGTCAGCTGAGAGGCGAGCAGTTTGAGAATGAGTCTGGGAAGCTGGCCTTACGAGAAGCCAGGGAGGGCGCGTATAATACAGCGAGTTGAGGGCTGCGTCCGTGCCAGTGTCCAGGAGCCCATAAAGATGGGCAGAACGGGCAGTGCCATTGGCTCCGACAGTCTGTCTGGGTGGTGCTGTGAATGGAGAGGGCGCAACTAAACCAGCAGGCCAGGCGGGCTGCGGAGACCTGACCAGTGGGCAACCGAGGGCTGGGGTGCTGCAGAGTCCTGGAGGAGATTTGCACACAGACTGGGGGAGGGCCAGCTCGGTGTTGGGGGGCGAAGGAAGGCGCGGAGGGCGGGAGGGGCGGCGCGCCCCCCACCGTCCCCCGCCGCGCAGCCCGGGGCCGCAGATCCGGCACGGCAGTCGCTGGCATCCCCGGCTTCGCGCCTCCGCCGCCCCCACGCGTGCCGCGGCGGGGAGCGGCCAGCTGGCGGTGTGACGCCTCGCGGGGCGGGGCGGGCTCTCGCTATTAAAAGGGGCGGG